CGCGATGCGCTGACCATGTCAGAGGACCGGCCGGTGCTGCAGTTACGTGGGTCGCCTGGTGGGCGTGGGGGGGCATTGGGGCACGGGGGGGGGGAGGCTAGGGGAGCGGTGGGGTGCCTCACCCCTTCCTGCCCTCACCCCGGCAGGTTCCTCCTGCACACCAGCTTCCTGTCTCCGCTGTTCATCCTGTGGCTCTGGACCAAGCCCATCGCGCGGGACTTCCTGCAACAGGCGCCCCTGGGCGGAGCGCCCTTCTCCCTGTGCGTACCGCGCGGGGCTGGGGGCCCCTCTCTGTACTGCAGGCTCTGAGGCTCAGGGAGGAGCCGGGCGCAGCTCTTGGAGGGTGGGGGACAGAGCCCGGGGGTGAAGGGACCGCCCCGTGAGCCCTCTTGCCCCCTCGCCCCTCGGCGCAGACTGTCAGACTCGGCCTTCGACTCGATGCGCCTCTGGGTGCTGGTGGCCCTGTGCCTGCTGCGGCTGGCGGTGACCCGGCCCCACCTGCAGGCCTACCTGTGCCTGGCCAAGGCGCGCGTGGAGCAGCTGCGGAGGGAGGCTGGCCGCATCGAGGCCCGCGAGATCCAGAGGCGGGTATGCATGAGGCCGCAGGGCAGGGAGGGAACCTGGAGCTCAGGGTAGGGTATCCGGGTCGCTCTGGCACGAGTGAACCCGGAGCGCAGAGGGCCCCGCTGCAGCCGCCACTGCTGCTTGCCCGCCAGGTGGTCCGGGTGTACTGCTACGTGACGGTGGTGAGCTTGCAGTACCTGACGCCGCTCGTCCTCACGCTCAACTGCACGCTGCTGCTCAAGACGCTGGGTGAGCAGCGCGAGGGAGGACGGTAGGGGAGGTGGGGTGGGATGGGCGCGCCTCGAGTGGAGGCGGCGCCTGGAGCGCACGGCTGAGCGGGAGGGGGCGGGGCCTGGGCAGGAGGAGGGGCCTGGACAGGAGGAGGAGCCTGATGTAAGGGTGGGGCCTGGGCAGGAGGAGGAGCCTGGAGTAGGGGTGGGGCCTGGGCAGGAGGAGGGGCCTGATGTAGGGGCGGGGCCTGTGCAGGAGGAGGAGCCCGGGGTAGGGGTGGGGCCTGGGCAGGAGGAGGGGCCTGGGCAGGAGGAGGAGCCTGGGGTAGGGGTGGGGCCTGGGCAGGAGGAGG